TTTTTTCTTTGAGATGGAGTCTCACTCTGTTGCCCAGGCTGAAGTGAAATGGCACGATCTTGGCTCACTGCAACTTCTGCCTTCTGGGTTCAAGCAATTCTCTTGCCTCAGCTTCCCAAGCAGCTGGGATTACAGGCAACTGCCACCATGCCCTGCTAATTTTTGTATTTTTGTTTTTTAGACGAAGTCTGGCTCTTGTACCCTAGGCTGGAGTGCAATGGCATGATCTCGGCTGACTGCAACCTCTGCCTCCTGGGTTCAAGCGATTCTCTCGCCTCGGCCTCCCGCGTTGCTGGGATTACAGGTGCCTGCCACCACACCTGGCTAATTTTTGTATTTTTAGTAGAAATGGGGATTTCACCATGTTGGCCAGGCTGGTCTTGAACTCTCAGCCTAAGGTGATCCACCTGCTTCAGCATCCTAAACTGCTGGGATTACAGGCATGGGCCACTGTTGGGGGGACATGCAGAAGGCAAGGGTCTGAGGACTCAGTCTGCTCTCATATAAATAGAAAAGAATTAGAGATATAGTTACACAGTTATTCCGTTATATAATCCTAAATAATCACATAGCTATTCACATGTAATCAAAATATATACATATACATGTAATCATATAATCTTTAATTTTACTAATAATTCTCAGGTCAAGAAGCATGGGACTGAAGTGATATTGGAAAAGAGGTGACCCTAAGGCAAGATGCTCTAAGCCCTCTGTCCCGCCCGCATAAGGGCTGCTGCAGGGCGCCTCGGCTGTGCCACAGTGTCAGCGCTGGGAAAGCGCCCGCTGTTTAGCCAGCTAGGGAAGGAGACGTCCAAGATGGCCAAGACGTCTCCTTCCTCCGGGGGGTGAGGAGAAAACGCCGCTTCGCCAAGCTCTTGTGGCAGGCCTGGCGGCTGTCAGGGAGGCCCACAGACATCCAGGGACCTGACTCTGTGTGACGCTGTGCTTCAGCGGTCACGCTCCATGGCTACTTTTTTTTTTTTTGAGACAGTCTTGCTCTGTCACCCAGGCTGGAGTGCAGTGGCCCAGTCCTGGCTCACTGCAACCTCTGCCTCCCAGGTTCAAGCGATTCTCCTGTCTCAGCCTCCCGAGTAGCTGGGACTACAGGTGCGTGCCACCACACCCGGCTAATTTTTTGTATTTTTAGTAGAGACGCGGTTTCACCTTGTTAGCTAGGATGGTCCATGTTTCCTCTCTTTCTTAAAAGATAAGAATTAGTAATAGTAACATAAATCTTAGTGACCTTGTTATTT